ATATTATGTTCTAGAACGCTCGAAAACCGCACATTTGGCTTTAATTCAAAAATCAAGGTTTAATTTTTAACAGGAAAAATCATCGTAATACGACTTTTTAATCGTTTTTTTCTTAACACGCGGTCGACGCAACCTTGCAGGCGCAGGTAAGTACTATTAGATTTACGTTACCGGGTGACCGCATTCGCAACATCTCTCCGAAGAAAAAAACCGATCGCCGTCGTCGGTCCGATGGCCGATATTCCGATTTATTCGGTAACCAAAAATGTAATTCGCAGACGCGTCAATTAAAGTCACCCGTTATACAGGACCTGATTAACCAATAGGCTGAAGAGGCTAGTGCGCCGTTAAATGGTAGGGGGCGCAACAAAATCACTTTTTTTTTTTTTTCTAAATTGATTTCCTTCAAACTTGTATCTCTATTATAATATATCAGCGTTTTTGGTCGGGAGGGCGTGCATACATTTATAGGTACAGGGCGACCAGTGAAATTTGGCGAAGAGCAGAAAAAAATTTCAAAAAATCAACCCTGGCCTACTGGTGGCGCCTGTCCGTTCAAAACTTCACGAGCGCCTCTATGAAAGCGACATCCGATATACCTGTATACAGCGTGTTTCGAGCGACGTATCATTTGCGCGTGTATACAGATACTAGATTTAATTGCGTAGAGTTTTTAGAGTTTGTCATGTTGGAAACGAAAATAAACGAAACACTCGTGTTACGCGTTAAAATTAAAAAAAAAAAAAAGAAAAAAAGACGAAAAACGAAAGAAAAAGTAACCGTCATCTCGCGAGAATAAATTGGATAATCCCGCCTTCGTCTCTTTATCTTATACTCTTGTGTCGTACAATAATATTAACTGCAGTAGCGTCGAATCCGAGCGGCGGACTCTGTACCGCCGTAGCATAAACGCCCGAATAATATCGAAATTGAACGAATATTATTTCCGTGAAATATATACGCGCATAAACGCCGGTTTTTTTTGTTTTTGTTTTTTTTTAATTTGCACGCGCCGCACGTCGTTTTCGTCCTTTTGATGCCCACTAATGATTTGTTCCGGACGCGCCGCCGCCGCCGCGTTTTGTAAAACGATATTTTTAAATCCGATCCCGTCAGTCTCACGTTTCTCGGCGACCGAACGGTATCGAAAGCGCCGGGGTACACCCCTTTATTTAAAACGCGTCTCCCCGAAGTGTCATAATATCGTATAGTTTATCAAAAATTTCCGTCCGGGGCATTCTCGTTTTACCGCCGCCGAAACGGTCGGTTTCGAAATTCGACGCACGGACGCGATGCTGTTGTAGTACTATACAGGCGCGTTTAATCTTGGCGTGCGCGCTACGGATATCCGACTGTATGTGCCGGCGACACTCGCGACCGGACTTAATTGTAACGGCGCTTTGGCGAGCTCGGGCGACAAGAACCGACAGAGACGGAGAGAGAGCGAGAAAAATACGTCATAATATGATACATTGTGTCCCGCGAGCCCTTTGTTGCACAAGATATGTTGTAACGAGAAACAATCGACGAGATAGGACGCATAAAGGTGTAGGCGTAGGTGTTGAATTTGTGTGGGCGCGCACGGGTAAAACGGTTCTGAACGAATATCGGTTAGGTATTGGACCGCATTTTTCTATCTCGTACTATTACACGCGTGTTCAAATGTTGTAGACATTGATTCCGTGACGGTTAAGAGGTGTGTGCACGGGTCGATTCCCCTGCCGTTGTATATCGGTAACGAAAATAACGGTAATCTCGTTACCAGATATTAGTTTTTAAAAACAACGCGTTTTAAATTTTTATCTATTGCAAATTGAAATGTAATTCCGTAACGGTAAACCGGATACCCGTCTAAAATATTCAAAATAAAAAAGTTGTATAGTTAACCTAAAACGATTCAAAATAGGAAAAAACTAAAAAGTAGACAATTTTTGAGAGACTTGTCAGCCTGTACAGATGTACAACAATAGAGGAATCGACATGTCTACATGCCAAATTGAAACCCGGAAATCAACTCTCCAACACCGGTACTTGGTACGACCAAGAATTTGTTTCTAAACCATAAAATGTGTTTCAAGACTTGTGTAAAAACAAACAATTATGTATACCGTCTACAATACACACAATCAAAATATATTTAAACCAGAGGGGGGGGGGGAAAGGCTCAGTGTTTTGATTGCGGTGGATAAATTATACCCCCTCCCTAGATTTTTATCCGATTCCGCACCTTCGGACCTATGTTACGAATGCTCTGTAACTGGATCGATTCAAGTCGCACCGCGTGATGGAACTGGTTTCGAATGTGGCACTCCTATAGGTATACCTCACTAAATATTACATACAATAACAATACGACAAGATAGTTTAATTAGATGAGATCTTTTTCTTGCCAACTTTCGATAAATTATACATATATGTACATCGACAGGTACGCAGTATTGTCTCTAGTGTAGAGCGCCCGCGGTCAGTTCTGATCGTCAGAGTAGGCTCTGCCCACGGTTATCAACGTTCGGTTAACCTCGGGTCATCTACGGCGTAGATAACCGTGGTTCTGCCGCACACGATCCAGATAAACGGATTCGGTTTGACGGTCAGCTTATTATCGCATTTCGTCGTCCACCCCAAACCGCGGTCGAAAACACGGGTAATTATTACACGGGAATCGCCGGCGTCTATAATAGATATATTTCGGTTGGATATTGTACAGGTATACTCGCGCATTAAACGCATATTGTGTATCGCGCGCGGTTCACGGTCCGACTGTCGCGCACAAAGACCTCCTCGGTTACGTACGACAATATCATGATAACGTGCGACGCGTAAATAATAACAGTATTATATGTCGAGTTCGATTTGCCGGGGTCAAAAAAAAAAAATAATAATAATAATATTAACTAAAAAATAGCGCGTCTTCGAATCCGGGCCCGGTATACAGGACGGTCGAGAACATAACGCGCAACACAGTCATCGTCTCCGGAAGTTATTGAATCGTTTCGGTATTTGTTTTTTACGACGTCCGAGGGAATGTAAGCGGCTCATCATGACGATCCATTTTTTTTTTCTGTCGCCCTTATTACGTTTGATTTTCGAACGGCGGCCCGCATTACAAATTCCACGTGAACAAACGGAGTATTCCGTTTTTAAATCCATTTTGGGGTTTGACACAGTGATTCCCGTCGGTCCGTTCCACTTTTGTGTTTCGGCGCGCGGAAAATAAATCATAGCGGTGCGTCGTATCGTGCGGCGGACGCGCGATATGGGGCAAGCGGACATTTCAATAAGAGACGAATCCAGGCCCCAGGCATATTATTTCTCCGATTTTTGTTCATAACTCTTTAGATTCTGATGTTTTTCTAACCGTTTGTTGTTAAATGTATAATTGTTAATATTGTGAACTGTTGTTAATTGTGGATACCACAAGAGTGCGCCACGTCGCCATCAAAGTCGGTCCCGGACACGACTTAAGAGATATACAGGTCGATGCGGAACGGAAAGGTCTTATCAATGTTTTTTAAACTCCGGCCGCTTCTCGCTGTTTGGCGCGACAACTAACGCTTTACGACAAAATTGGTACAAAAATCAACTATGACCAGTTTAAAGTTTAGACTGGAGGAGTAGGAAACGTAATAGACTGCGTATTATCTAGTCTATAATAAATATTGACTTAGTTCGTGAAGAGTACACTAGATGGTGTTAGCGGCCCGCCAAAAGTGTTGAGGTTCGAGCTTCACTAATCACACGTTCGTCCGACATGGATGTTCTGTACATCTCGATCCGCCGTCCCGGACAATCACAAATTTTGTCCGCGGCGATAATAGATTGCACTATTATGGCACTGTAACGTTAGTACCGTAGGCGTCGTAATATTGTATTTGTGGTTGTAAACCACACTGTTGCTCCCCCATCCCCCGTCAAATCTTCGCTATGGAACCGTGCCCGGTTTTAATAATGGCGGTCCACCGTTCTCACCGTGCCCGACGTGACCAAGGCACTAACGAAGTGTTTCGGAGGCGCTCGTTTCCGAGACGGCGAGGAGTTGCCAACGTTCCGTCGATCGCTCTGTATAATACCGGGCACGGGCTGTTTTCACGCATACAAACAATGAGTGCGCGCGTTTTCGGCGGCGGCGGCGTCTAATGTGTCGATAATACGATACGACAATGCTGTTGTTGTCGTATTGACGGCGCCGGGTACCGGGAACGTTATTTCGTCACGGAAAACCCGCGATTGCGAAACGGTCGTTGGACAATCGTTATCACCGCGGACGGCCGCGCGGTAAAACGAGTCGACTGCGGAGAACCGCCGCGCGGGCCGCCGACAGCATTCGCGCGCCGCAAGAACGGTCGCGGCGACCTCGCCGACGGCGTTATTCGCGTTCGGACTATTTACCCGTCCGGCCGACGAAAGCGATTGGTTTTCCAGTACGATCGTCCGACAGTATCGCGTGCGCGATACGTTCGCCGCGGCGTTATGTTTTCGCGCTTGCCGGGTGTACGCCCCGGGCAGAGAGCGCACACTGGACACGCGTGACACCGTGGAAACGCGCGGTGTTTGTGCGCCCGGAAATACCCTTGCGCGTTCGCGGCTCGATTTGTTTGCCCGCCATTTAACCTCCCCACCCCCTCCCGCGTACGCACGCCAACACCGTGCGTATATTTCATTGTGACATTCGATCCACACTCGGATCCCGATGATAACAATGTGAAACGGGGGGGTGGGAGGGAAACCGATAAGAACAAAATATCGGCGATTGCGGCCCGTTGGTACGACCTCAAATAATGGTATTAACCGATGCGTTCCAATTGGATAACAACAACGGGCGTTTCCCAAACTCGCTATCGATCTGCCGAGCGATCCGGCCCGGATTAGCCGGTCGATTATTTAGGGACACGCGTCGAACCGTGATGGTGACGTTCGATTCGTAATTTTGCCGGGTCGGTTGCGGTACGGTTACGGTTTGTTCGGTCGCGACCGCGGGTATTTATTTACGTACGTGTGGCGCGCGCCGAAACCGTTTTGGAACCACTTACCACACGGCGCGTTCCGAAATCGCAACGTCTCGACCGTGCGTGTTGTGTTAAAATAAACAAAAATCATTCACGTTCGCAATACTTTTTCCGTTTGTTATACCCAATGATTGATTCTGTATTAGTGCGCATTATCGACGACATTGCGTTAGTCAGTTTCCAACTGCTTATTCGTTGAAATTCTATTTCGTGGTCACAGTGATGCAACACAATTAAGCCGGCATCTAAAATTATTCGTTATGGAAGTTGGTGAAAGCATCCGAAATTCTTCAATGAGTTCACAGTGAGCGAATGTATTTTAACTAATAACTATTTTATGTACACATAAAACGTTTTAAATATCGACACATGTATGTGGGCAGTGTTAGCTTAAACAGCATTAAATATCTAAAATGCCTGCTTCAAATATGGAAAAAAATAGCGATTTTAAAATTTAATGTTTGGAATCTGGCGCATAAACAAATGTTAACCTAACACTGCCATTTTTATTTCTGTCCTATGATAATTAACGAAATCAATGCTACATAATCCGAACGCTGGTTATTATTTTTTTAATGCTCCTAATTGGGAAAGGTAAGCGTAAAATATTTTAATTATCGATATGTACCTGGGCACCTAAGTATTAATTTACCATTTCGTAATGAAAAAAATGATTTTATTAAGACGTCATTATAATTTACTTTATTTGCGTTCTTACTACTATTTACATAAACTTAAACATTTAAATGCTATGAATATTTCGAAACAATTTCGAAATATTCATTGGATTGTTTCTTATTTGCAACGCAAATAATTGGACGTACAAGCATCTTTAAAATCCGTTCAGGTACCTATTTATTTTGCCATTGTTAAAAACACGAGTTTCCATTCTGTACCCTTCAATTCTTGTTCATTTCCATTTTGTCAGAATATTGTCAAATATCCTGTTCACAATTTATTAGAGCATATCAGTGGAATGCTAGAATTACCTACGTTTAAAAAAAAAATTCAATTTTGTTAGAGTTTACTATCCATCATTATTATGTTCTTCTCTACATACTATATATGATTTTTGTTATATCTCTGATATTCACATCATACAATATATATTTAGTACCCACAACAAATATTTTATTGTATACACCTTTAATACAGTGTCGGCCTGGCACATCAAAGGCCCCTGCATTTGGGAGATCCATAGATGAAAAATAAAAAAACCATGTACATCAATGCGATATTAGATTCAAAGTTGATATAATATTTCAAAAAAAAAAAAAAAAAACACAGACTTTACAGAGACCGATATGTATACTAAAGTATATATTATGCTATATTCACAAAACTAATTTTCAGCGACATTTCAGTTTTCAATAATTTATTGTTGTATAATAATTTACTTGCTCACACAATTATTATAATAAATTGATAATTTTTTACTATATTTTTATTATTTGACTGTAGTCTGAAATAGTTAACCAAAGTCTAAACAATAATTAAGTATATTTATATTTGTGTATTTAATCACTGTACAATAAACAGTAAGTAGTTAAATGAAAGTATTTTATAAATCTTGGGTCTTGAGGTACCCTCAGACACAAATACAACTGGGAGTCCCAGCCGCGTTCACAGCCTACTGACTATAGTCAAGCCGAAACTGCTCTAATGTTTTGTTATTAGGTAATAACTAATTGTTATGATTTTAATACTTTTCAGATTCACTAGTAACTTGAAAGAAGAAATAAAACATCCAAATACCAAAACAATTGAAATAAAAAAAGAATACGATTTAATAGACGGTTATGAGTTTCAAAGTGTAATTACTATTGAAAATGATCCTATAGAATCAATATTATATCAAAAACCAAAACTTAGAAAAAATAAATATACATGCCATAATTGTGGTAATTCATTTTTTTCAAAATCAATGTTAAAATGCCATATGGGAGAGCATATTGGAAGAAAAATTGACAATGAAAATTGCCCTCTACAGTGAGCATTTTTAAATTCTTTCTTCATAGATTTTAATTATTAATAAAAGAGATAAAAATAATTTAATCTTAATTGTTGTCATTCCATGTTGTACATGTTTTACTATATAATTCTAACTATCGTAGCTAATATCACTATATAATTGATAATCAAAATTAAAAAAAAAAAAACTTATTTAATTAGCTAGATTTTTACCTAATTATTCTTTATATGATATGATTATTGATTTATAAGCTGTCCCATAAATAAGGTATCCAAATATATTGAATTTTGAAAATTAATTTATTATTTTAAAATGTTAACACGATAATTCATAAAAATACATGGTAACATGTGTTACACACTCTTACAAACCTTATGAAAATTTGATTTCTCATGGACAATATGATACACATTAGTATTTTTGAAAATCAAATTGTATGGCAAGTTCCTGAATTTTGAATTGTCTGTCCAATCATAGCAGTTGTTTGATCACATCAATGATTTCAGCAGTGAACATTCTTATTAGTCAACCACTTCTTACCTGATTTCCAAAAGATACAATTTTTAATGTATGGGCCATAAACTTTGATTAATTGTTGATTTCAGTTGAACAGACATTTTTAAAATCAAAATTTTATTGATGGTGCGTGCTTTTTCTTTTGTGGAATTTATGTATTAATTTTGTTTGTTTATTATAACGTAGTTGACAGTAAAACACTAAAGTATAATAAGCATAACATAGAGAGCACAAAATTAATTACATAACTTATCTATGTAGGGAGTTTCCCGCTGATGTGGTACATTGTTTATGCTAAACAGAACTTTGTACCTTCTTATCGGACGGCCTGTGTATGTGTATACTTCTGATATGAATAAATGTTAGATAATCAATTTAAATTATGATTTTTAAACTTTTCAGAGAGAAACAATTTAAATGTGAGGTATGTAAAAAACCATTTACACTGAGATCAAATTTGTTAAAACACACAAAATGTCACACTAAAGAGAAACCATTTAAATGTGAGATATGTGCAAAATCATTTAGACAGAAATCACATTTCTCAGAACACACAAGGATTCATACCGGAGTGAAACCATTTAAATGTGATGTTTGTAAAAAATCATGTACTAAATTGTCTAATTTAAAGAAACATAAGTTAATTCATATAGAAGAAAAGCTTTACAAATGTGAGATTTGTAAAAAATCATTTAGAGTGAAATCAAATTTGTCAGACCACACAAGGATTCATACTGGAGAGAAACCGTTTAAATGTGAGGTATGTGCGAAATCATTTAGACAGAAATCACATTTGTCAGACCACACAAGGATTCATACCGGAGAAAAACCATTTAAATGTGAGGTATGTATGAAATCATTTAGATTTAAATCAAATTTGTTGGTTCATACAAGGATTCATACTGGAGAGAAAGTTTTAAATGGGATGTTTGTGAAATATCATTAAACAAAAAACTTTGTTGACTATACATGTAAGAATACATCCTAGACAGAAACCCTGGGGATGTAACATTTAAAAAAAAATAATATACATTGAAGCAAAATTAAACTACTATTGTAAATAATCCTAGGTGCGGTGGAATAACTAAATATCAATTCGTTTACTCTCAATTTGTAAAAATTTTAGAATAATAGTAACATTGGAAACATTATTTAACATAGAATTTGTAAAGGTGTATACTTAAGGACATAATAATATAAGTTAACAGTTAGAGATATTTCACTAATATTATTAATACTTATCAAAGAAATTTTGTAAAACATAAGAATATAGCCTGTACATATGTATTAATGATTTGTTACTTAACCTATAATTTTAAGAAAAAATATTAAAGATGTTTACTGGACGGTTTATGAGTTCTTACGTTTTAGAAAAATCTTCGTTAATGTATGTATTTTTTAACGTTATAATATTTTATATATGCATTTGTTTGTATATTTTTATAAGGGTAAATTATTTGAAATGTATATATATATATATATATACACACCATATATTTAGCCAAAATAAATTTCAAAAGTGTAACTGAGATTTGTGTATTTATTTTTATGAAAACTATTAAACCCACACATGCCTGTCATATATAAACATAATATACACTGTATATTTATCATGATATTTTTAGTGAAGTGCTGTTATAGTATTTTGTGAACTTTATATTTTGCCATTTATAGGCATTAGGGTGGACCTGATTTTTCAATATTGAAATTTTTCCGCCGGATCCCTCTAAATTAGCTCCAATATACAGGGTTATTCAAAATGATTTATACCACCCCAGGAGTATTTATTTTCGGGAAAGGTGCTACACTTGAATATCAGACCAAGATATCTGGTAGAATTGTTGTACACTGTACTAAAATATATTTTACGGTAGGCAATCGTGTTCGAGAGTTTGTGACCGATATCAATTTAATATTAAAACACAATTTACCACGAGCCTATGACACGAACGAAACGATTCAGTCCGTTATTGTTAATGACTGTTTTGCGTATCGATAACGGTTGTTGATAACGATATTGTTCCGTGGTTGATAACTAACCATCAACGTGCAAGGCGCGATAACGTCTGCGGTATTGTCGGTTGATAGGTACTTATCAAATTATTACCGCAGTCCACAGTACGATATACACGTGCCACGTTAGATTGACCCGTTCGGTTCCGGCTCTTCGGCCGCGCTAAAACGTCTCCGCAGTCGGTGTTGACGAAACTGAATTTTCGCCACCACCACCCGCCATCTCCACGCCCGCCACCGTTGCCGTTGTGGTCCGCGCGCGCTTGTAAATAATATCACAGTATCCAAATGCCCGCGATGCCTTGCGCCTGCGAGAGCGCGCGGGGCGGTGTTTAACGTTGTTCCGTTACTGAAATATTATACGATAATGCGCGGCGTCCATAAATCGTCCAATTTGTCGGGTAGATAACGTGTTTCGTGCGTTATTGTCGGGCGTGCGACGCGTTTTTAATAAACGGCCGCGGCCCTCATTATTATTATTATTATTTTTCCGTGATTTTTTTTTTTTCGCCGCCGCCGTAAACCGGCGGTAAGTCACCGGGGCGCGCGCGCGCGCGCGCTGTCCGCAAACCTCACACGAAGACTCGTATGATAATATTTTCGTGTTTATTACACATTATTATTATTATTATCGCATTCACTTTGTCCCGCCGTTTCCTATAATATTATACGAGTAACATACAATGGTAATAATATTATTGTAACTATAATGATATAACGTCGCATATAATGTGTGTGTGTGCGTATAGCTCGGATTCCGGTGTAGGCAACCGTAATTTATTGGCTAATTTGCCCGTCAAAATGACCGCGTAAACTATAAATATTGTCCTCGACGTCCTCCGGTGTTTTTTTTTTTTTTTTTTTTTTCACGTTTTTTTTTCATATTAAGTGTTTGCCGAACGCGAAATCGACGGATTTATTGCCCGTGTTTGCGTATCATATTATTATTATTATTATTATCGCCGTCGTCGTCGTCGTCCTGCAATACTGTCGCAATAACACGGCGCGTTTTTAAATGTCTTTTCCCTCGCTGCCGCCCCATACCCCACCCCCGGTACGCGTCCCCCTCAATCGCCTACAGACGCGCGTCGTTTCACATCTCCGATCGCGAGTTTTTTATTTATTTTTTTCGACCGCTTCGAAAATCCGATAGATCAATATTATAGATATGCAATGATGTACCTGCGTTATCTACATTTTAATATAATGTATAAGAATCCGCCTACGGGTCTGCGCAGCACTTATAACACGTGTACTGTCTCCATAGGTATATACACAACAGGTGTATACGATTTTTTTTTTTTTTTTTTTTTCGAAAATTGAAACGACCGCGTGCGATTCCCGTGACGGATAGTGTTTCGTATTTACTATTATAATACGATGACGTCAACTGTAACGACGGTTTTTATTGTTTGTTGTGTAAATAGTAAACAAGCCTATTGTTCACGATTCTACGCAATAATTATCATCGAAACCAAGTATACCGGAAAACTGTTGAATCGTAGGCCAAGGGTGGATCGGGAATAGAAATCGGCACCGGGATAACAAACAATTCGGTCCGAAATGTCGAGGATATCGAGATCGAGGCGAAAAACAACGTCATCTCCATAGAAACGCTTATTCGGTAATTCCAAACGGAAAACGTTATTTCATTATGTAAAAACAAAAAATTCGCCATTTCGGAACGATATTTATTATAGTCCTCCTTGTCAATATCCTAAGAATGGTTCGTGACAGTTGCGTCCATATACACGTCCCTGCAGTTGTAAGCTTAGTTCCTCTGCCGTTCGCTTGTATTTTTTCGCAATATTCATGTACAGATGCTTCGTGATTTTGTTCATATTATTTTCTGCCCTGCTTGGTCTTTATCGTCCCACGGAATCTTCAACAATTCAACATCTCATTCAGTGTTGTTTTTAGTTTGGTCCAATATCCTTTATATATATATATATAGTATTATGTCTTGTCATCTTATCTCTCTTGCGGGATTTCATCATTTCCACAGTGGCCGTTTTCCTTTATTCCGTTTTAGATCTCTTCGTTTGTAATTTTAGATTTTGAAAGGAGCGAGGAATATATTGGTTTTACAATGATGTTTATTTTTTTTTTTGTGGACAACTTTTCTACCAGTAATTTTGCTCCGATTTACATTAATAGCACTGAAAGGAAATCTGACTGGCGAGGTACTTTAGGAAGGTCATTTTTTGATTTTCCTAGGAGTTTTCCCAACAAATAGGAGAAACCGGGAAAAAACATGGGAAAAACGGGAAAATATGTACAATATTAAACAGTTATTATTAAAGAAAATATATAATGCATATTATGCAATTATTTTACCATAATATGACACATATATTGTCGACAAAGCACCACTATTAACTGAACTCCACTATCAGAATCGTTTTTCATTAGCAATGGCTTATCACTGCGTACAGATAAACATATTAAGTTTTCCCTCCACCTTCCCAATTTCTCACCTACAACAGTGACCCATCCACGTGCAAAGTATGTCCGTCTCTTTTTTCTCGAGTCGTCCCAGTGAATAGCATTCGCTGTTAGTCTTTTACATTAGTTCAAAGTGTTAATAAATATTATAATCACGGCCTCTGTAGGTATAGTTGTGCTATGACGTTAAGCGGTCAGTTAAAAGCATAATTTTTGTAACAAGACGGATCAAATCCGCCAACCGGAACCGCCAGTGTTCTATGGGATGGGGGGGGGGGTTTGACCCCAAACACCCAGAACGCTCCTTGGCTACGCCACTGATAATTACCGAACACGCTCGTCGTGGGGGAAAAACAAAACGAAAAGTAATAGTAAAACGGCGCGTATTGCGCAGAGTTCCCTAGTCTGAATACTCGTATACGGCCGACGTCGTTGGAACTTCAGCGGTCGGACGGGAACCGGCGGCGCGCGGTCGTTGGCGATTTAAAAAACATACCTATTTTGTACAATAATAATATTACTGTTGCGTTTACGACGAAGACGTTGAATTATTATTGTTTACTCGCATAACTCGACGACGGCAATATCTATCGACATATTTCCCGACGGGGAGATTACGATCGTCGTCATCGTCATGTTCGGCAGTCGTTTTTGTCGAAGCCATGCGTTGGTAGGCGGGCAGGTAGGTACACGATGACAATAATACGAATTACAATGTAAACGACGGACCCCGAAAAATAATAGTCATCATCGACGTGCGCGCGTTTTATTGTCGTCGGTTTTTTTTTTTTTTTTTTATATATATTCTCCCGTACCCCCGGTACTCGAGCCGTATATAATAACAATAATAATAATAATAATAATATAAAATACTGTTCCGTACAATGTTGTAAAAATCGTTCGGCATTTATGGCGTCATTAAAATAAGGTTAAAAGCTTGTAACGATAGTATTATTATAGCGGTGTGTGTGTGTATTTTAGACTATAAACCGCGACGACGACGACGACGACGACGAAGTCCCGACGGGTTTTTTTTTTTTTGGTTTATTGTTCGCATGACTGACTGGGCCACCGGCATATATTTACTATTATATTATTATTATTTATTATTTTTTTTTAGTTTTACTGCCTTAAACGGATTTAATAAAAATCGCGGGGGTTCGTACATATTATTATATACGTACGTACCTACGTAACAATATTAAAAAATAATAACAATAAATTTCCCCGTATCGGAAACTATATTATTGTTATGCGGTGTACGTATGTATTAAAACAGTATGGTGGGATAGGTGGGGGGGAGGGGTTATACACGTTTAATACCCCGACGTCGAAAACAATAAAAAAAAATGAAAAAAATAAAAATAAATAAAAAACGCCGAATAAAATGAAAAACCGCTATTTTTCCCGATCGCGTACACGAATAACATTACGTTATCACGCGGTGACGTTCGCCCTTTTCCGCGGGGTTCGAGCACGGAGGAGAGCGTTAAAACGCGGCTCGTGCACATCCGCACCACACCCCGCGTTTCGGGTATTATTGTAATAATATCGACGGCACGTTTAACAATATTGACGACCGGGCGCAGACAACGGTACAAATAATACAATACGCGCAGGCGCGTAAAACCGATTCGCGGCCGTTTCGACGATTTTTTTTTTTTTTCTCTCTTCCGTCGTCGGGCATAGGTATCCGTGAATGAACGTTTGCGCGCGACCGAGCAGAGAAAAAACGAAACGGAATATAATACCGCGTCGCCGGGGCCGAGAGAGGAAAATTGAAATAAAAAAAAAAAAAAAAAAAATCCCTTT